GAGCTCCTTTGTTGTTGTTGTTAAGTGCCATCGAGTCGGTTCCGACCCATAGCGACCCTGTACAGGGTTTCCGAGGGTGTAAATCTTTACGGGAGTAGAAAGCCTCATCTTTCTCCCGCGGAGCGGCTGATAGTTTCGAACCGCTGACCTTAAGGTTCGCAGCCCGATTCGTAACCACTACGCTACCAGAGCTCCTTAGGACACTTCAAAGGGGTGGGGAACGTCAGGCTACAATATCATTTGGTCTGACCCTGCCGAGGCAACCGCAGTTCCAGCCATTACATTTTGTTGTTAAGTGCCTGTCGAGTCAATTCTGACTCCAAGTAGCCCTGTATAGCGTTTCCGGGAGCAGCAGGTTTGAACTGTCTACCTTGAGGTTCAAACCGACCCTGCTGTCGAGTGCTTATCCTACAGCTCCACACCACGGCTCCAGTCATCACATTTGTTGTTGTTAAGTGCTGTTGAGTCGGTTCCGACCCATAGCGCCCCTGTATAGGGTTTTGAGAAGCGACTGGTGAGTTTGGACTGCCTACCTTGAGGTTCAAAGCGACTTTGCAGTCCATCATATTAACCCACAGCGCCACGCCATGACTCCAATACATTGACGGTCGTTTTGTGCCCTGGAATCTATTCCAACTCATAGTGACCCTGTATAGGGTTTCTGAGGCTGTAAATCTTCACGGGAACAAAAGTCTGATAGTTTTCCTGCAGAATGACTGGTAGATTCGAACTGCTGATCTTTGGGTTAGCAGCTCAGCTCATAATCTACTACACTAGCAGGCTAATTTTAACGTTGATAATTTTGCATGGGCCACGAGTGATGACCGTGGGTCGAAAAAATGATTCCCCAACTCTGCGCTAGATAGAAAGACTAATAGATGACTATTCATAGAGCTATCCAGGAGAGCTGCCAGACCAGGAGCACAGTGAAAAATCCATCTACTAAAATTTGGGGTGGTTATTTACTGCATTATAACAAACCTATCATGACAAATACAGACCTCCTTTAATCTCCAGAATAACCCTCTGAAGACGGGACATATCATCGGCATTTTGCAATCCGAGGCAGTGAAGTAGAAACGTGCTTGTGTTTATACAATTAATAAGTGGTGGAGCCAGAATTAAAACCCACATATTTCTTGGCTTCAAGTCCATGCAATGTGAGGTAAGTATGTATCCCACAATTAAATCATTATTGGGGTGATAATCTTTTAAGGGTTTCTTTTATGGAACCCCGGTGGTGGCACAGTGCTTAAGCACTTGACTGCTAATCAGAAAGTCCTGGTTTGAACCATTATCTACTTCATGAAAGAACAATGTGGCAGTATGCTTCTGTAAAGATCATGGCCTTGGAAATCCTATGGCGCAGTTCTACTCTATCCTATTGTTGTTGTTATGTGCCATCGAGTAATTTCCAAATCAGAGCAACTTAGGGTTTCCAAGGTAAGGCCGGTGAGGTTGAATCAACAACCTTGTGGCTCAAAACTCTGTCCTAGAGCGTCAATATGAGACAGACTCACAATGATTTGGTTTGGTTTGATTTTTTGTTGTTATGCAAGCCATCAAGAGCAGAATGAACCCTGACCCATTTACTCCAAAATGGCCTTCGTTAGCTGCTATAGCATGGGTTTCTCCTATTGGTTAGTCAGAAATTTCCATTAGTAGAAGTCCTGGTGTGGTGGAGGATGGCTGGTGGGCTTGAACTTTCGACCTTATGGTTCAAACTGACTTTGCAGTCTAATGCATTAACCCACAGCGCCACACCAGGACTCCACATACTAATATAAACATTTATTTACTTTGGACTACAAGGTTGGCATTTCAAACTCATGATACAGGGTCGCTATGGGTCAGAACCAACTTGATGGCATCTAATAACAACAATGTGCATACCCCTTTCATACCCCATTCGAGAATGGAATCAATGGTTTATACATTTTGTGATGCTAACACCAAGTTCAGAGTCTACACATCATGGGAAAATGTTTCATTAAAAAAAATAAAAGTCCATTGTTTTACCCTCACTATAAGGATCTCTGGTAGCGTAGTGGTTACGAATTGGGCTGCGAACCTTAAGGTCAGCGGTTCGAAACTACCAGCCGCTCCGCGGGAGAAAGATGAAGCTTTCTACTCCCGTAAAGATTTACACCCTCGGAAACCCTGTACAGGGTTGCTATGGGTCGACTCGACGGCACTTAACAACAACAACAACAAATAACCCAGTGTAAGTCCTGGTACGGTGCTGTCCAAAAAGCAGTGGACTGTTAACCACAAGGTCAGCAGATCAAGTCCAACAGTCACTTCTCGAAAATCCTATACTGGGTTACTAAGAGTTGGAACCAACTTGACAGCACTTAACATCAACAACACAACCATGTGAGGAAATCTAATAAGTCATCCAATTTCTAAAATGTGGGGAAATTGAGGCTCCAAGCTGCAGTGACTATCTAACAACACATGTAAAAAAGCCCAATCTCCTACTGAACCCAGGTCAAAGGACTCTGATTCTGTTTTCCACTCTACAATGTGTGGCCTCTCACAGATAGTAAGGAACATGGGTAATGGTCAATCACAGATTCAGAGCACTGCTGCACCTTGTTTCTCAAAGGTGGTAAGGCCTCTGGATAGAATTATGGTATCTTAAAAGTTGCCACCTGGGAGAGTAAAGGGAATCACTTTGAAGTATAGGGAAGTTTGAGAGCTAGGTCTGAAATCAGGCTAACTCCCTCCTTAACTCTGTGGTCTAGAGTAAATCTTTTAAACTCAAGAGCTTCAGAAGCTTCAGTTGCCTCATGGAGTTTGAATTAATGATACTTTATTTGTAAAGTTTTACATAAGAGTAGCAGGTGTGTAATATAAAGAGTAGAGGTGTTCTGCTCCCGTAAAGATTTATAGCTTTGGAAACCCTGTACAGGGTCTCTATGAATTGGAAGCGACTCCACAGCGCATAACAACAACAACAATATATGATCAAACTGAGAATATATGTGGGGGGTTTCAGAAAGTTTGTGGAAATGTAATAAAAAGACAATGGAATTTTCCCATTAGCTTTTTGATGCCTCCTCATAGTAAGAAATAAGTATATGGTTGTTATTATTATAATTTTAGGTTAGAAAAAGAAATTATACATATCATGTGCATGTGACACAAAGTATTTTACATATCCTATTTTATTGACTCTCCCCAAAGGTCTGTGGAGTTAAGTGCATTACTTTTGTGTTACATTGAAGAAACTGAAGAAAGTAACTTGTACGCGGTCACCCAGGTAGTTAGTGGCAGAGCAAGCATTCAAGTTAAGATCTTTGAGTCCAAAGCCTGGTATGAAGATAAAAGTGTTCACCCAAAAAATGAAGTTGACACTGCCTCAAAAGTCCTCTCTTCAGTTTATCAGTTCACATTCCAGATGAGTTACAGTGGATATACACCCCAAATTTTGGTTAAGTGCAGTGTTGGGCACTGGAAGGAATGGGTTGAATTAGGGTCATGTATGATTTGGGAAATATATTAAGGCATTTGGAACAAGTGCAGGACACGGCAGACGAGAAACCAAAACAGAAGCTGGCCAACAATAAATGTTAGTTGTTCAATTTCCCTTTCAGCTTATAATACAATAGTAGAGATGACTCATATTTATATTTCAGTCCTTTCGCTAAAAATCTCCAGGTAAAAACTATATTGTAAGATCAATGTGTTCTTTTTCTCTCGATTTTACTACCACGTATGTCCCAAAAAATGTTCTGAAACCAGACAGAGGAAGTTCCCAAAAGTCACAGGAAATATCTACACTCAAAGAAATGGAAAGGAAAAAAAAAAAAAAAAAAACCTATTAAATTAGTTCCTTATTTGCACCATCAACACCAAGACATGTTGGAAGATGATTTAGGTAATTAGCACAAAACTAACAAAATAACAAACCCACTGCACTAGAAACTTATATTAGTCGGTACTGTTGTTCTTAACTGATGTTGACTAGCGTTCCAACTCATAGCGACCCTGTATAGGGTTTCTTATGGTTTAAAATCGTCCTACAAAGAAACAAGTACTATTTCATCATAAGACAACCAAAGGGAAAGAAAAAATGTTTTCTGGAGTTCACACCCATCCCACCCCCTAACCTCCATGTTTGGAACAAATAGGCCTTTGCATTCTCCAGTCAAGACCCAGTATTATCTTCATGCTGTGCATGTTTTTGATTCATATAGTTAGGTTAGACACGTGTAGAAACAAACAAATATAAACTCTCCCCATGGGATGGAAAGTTCTTCTAAAAGGCGGGATTCACACGAAGTCCTCCCACCAGAGACCACAAGGCTGTAAATCCAGAAAGATGCTCAGTCAAGGCTAAGAACCCGAACTTGATGAAAGAAAATCAACAAAGATGGGGGCAGGAAGGAGGGGTAGACTTCCACACAGAAAGATCTGAGATTGTCTAGTAATAAATACTCGTATATCCATTTTCTTGTGAAGTTTTCTAAAGTAGAGCCAATGGCACATAAATCTAGCAGATCTCAATGGAAACTCGTTCATAAGGGACTACCTGTAAACTCAGAAGTTTCTGGCTTTATATATCAAACGTTCAGTGCATTCCCTTCTACTACCCCGCGCTCCCTTCCAAGTGCTGTACCCCTCACCAACAAACAACCCATGCTCAGCCTCTCCTCTTCCTGTGGCCCCAGAAAGAATTCAGGCTCTACAGAGACGCGGGACCTGCGCGACCCTCCCCTTCCAGCCATCCCCATTATTCGGCACGCAGCCCTGCTCGCTCCTGGAGCCAACAGTCTGCAGCTCCCTCAATGCAGGCGCGAGCAGATAGGAATGGTGAGAAGAGAAGCTGTGCCAGCTGCATGTTTCAGAATCTCCCTCCATATGCATTTGCCAAAGGAACAAAAAGAAAATCAATGCCAGGAAAAGACAACTGAGATGAGGATGCGGTGGCACCACGTCTGACTTGGTGCCTCTTAGCAGCAAGGGGCTCACCAACCACGCGTCCGAGTCGTTACCTTCAAGCTGCAGGCCATGGCGCTTGGCTGGCCCTCCCGCCACCGAGCAGCGGGCGCGCCTAGGTTAGGAGCAGTCCCAGTTGCAGGCAGGAGGCTGATACCGCTGCAGGACCGCTCCACATTCCCGCAGATCCAAATAAGGGACCGCGGAGCGAGCAGTGCGGGCATAGGCCCCGCCCCCCGGCCGTGGCCCCGCCCCCGGCCCAGTCCACAAGCTAGCGGCCGGAGCAGCACCCTCCCACCCCCAACTATGGTCACGTGCCGTCCCGGGCGCCCTGCCCCGGGCTGGAGAGTGCCTCCTACTTTTTCTTCTTTTCTGTAAACGTTTTGTCGTTCACCATATACAAAGTCGGCTCAGAAGCAGATGGAGATCTAGGTCCCGCTAGGCCTTTGCTTCTCCTTGGTTTGGTCTTTACAGATCAGAAAAGCCATGCAGACATGTCACACTTCTTAAAAACTAAATGAGTTTGGAATCTTCATTCTACAAGCTTTGGGGACATCAAAGGATTCTTCAAAAGTAGGACCGAAGTTCTCCCTAGGCAGTTACAGGATAGAGTCTTCCTTCTGCTTAAAAACTCTATGGTGGGTTTATCTAAAATCAATCATTGGTCTTTAAGAAGGAGCACAATTATCTAACAAAAAAAGAAGTCATAAAACTTTACACTATGTATGCAAATTATGTCTAAATATATAAAGTTAGCCTCTGAAACTTGAAAGGTGGATGGTTGGAACCCACCAGCCACTCTGCAGAAGAAAAGACCTACTTATATTGCTCTTGTTAAAATTCCAGCTTTGGAACGCCTATGGGAAGGACAGTTCTACTCTGTCTTATGTGGTAGCTAAAAGCCGGAATACACTCAACATCACACAACAATAACATATACAAATATACACAAATATATGACGGTTCCAGTTTATGTGCGTTTGTTATGTTTAGACATGCTCTGGTAGGGTAGTCAGCAGTTCCGCGGAAGAAAGATGAGGCTTTCTGCTCCCATAAAGATTTCCATCCTCGGAACTCCTGTACAGGGTCGCTGTGAGTCCGAACCGACTCCACACACATAACAACAACTGCAATCATTGGATGGCTGTAGACACGCTCTCTCAATAATACATTTGTCTTAGTCTTCTTTCGGTGCCTTAAACAAAAATGTTTTATTTGTTGTTGTTATGTGCTGTCCAGTCGTTTCAGACCCATAGCGAACCTGTATAGGGTTTCCAAGAAGCGGCTAGTGAGCTTTAACTACCAACTTTGTAGTTCAAAACCTGCAGTCCAGCGTCTTAGCCCACAGCACTACACCAGGACTTATGCAAACTTCAATTTGCTTGGATCCTCTATCAACATGCTTGGAAGCAGCAGTCAAGACATCAGGGTACATATTGCTTTGGGCAAGTGTGCTGCACAAGACCTTTTTAAAATATTCAAAACCAAAGATGTCAGTTTGAGGACTAAGGTGCTCCTGACCCAAAGTATTTTCAATAACCTCATAAACTTGTGCAAATTGAACAATGAATAAGAAAGACCTTAGAAGAATTGATGCATTTGAGACCTGGTGTTAGAGAGCAATATTTAAAGTACCATGGACTGCCAGAAGAACAAACAAATCTGTGTTGGAAGAAATACAGCCAGAATGTTCCTTTGAAACCAATATGGCCAGACTTCATCTCTCATACTTCAGACATGTTATCAGGAGAGACCAGTTCCTGGAGAAGGACTTCATGCTTGGTCAAGTTAAGGGTCAGAGAAACACAGGAAGACCCCCAACACAATAGATTGGTACAGTGGCAACAACAATGTGCTCAAGCGTAACAACAAATGTGAAGATGGCCCAGGCCCACGCAGTGTTTTGTTCTGTTGTGCATACGGCTGCTATGAATGGAACAGACTTGACTGCACCTAATAACAACAACTATCAAAACTCTGGCTTCGGAGGGGATCTTCTGGGCCTTGGCAATCAAAGCAGAGAGATCAGTTAGAAGGTTATGGTGATGGTTTTCTGAGATTTCAAAGGGATACTTTCTCGAAGGCACAGGACAATCACAAAGATTTATTATGAAGAAGTTTTAAGAAAATAGAAAACTGCATCAGTGAGAAAAAGGCCAGAAATGTTGTACAGAATACCACAGACCCACTGCAATGACAGCTTACAGACCTCAACCAACTCCAGTCTGATCTCACTGCATCATGACTGATCTTCTGGTTTCTCTCCTTCAAAAGACAATGGGTTCTCAAGAAACCATGCTTCGTCATCTCTGTGACTCCGGTACTTAATGTCATGCCTTGTATGTAACCAGTACTCCATAAAGCTGTTGAGTTAGAAATGGTAAATGTTGTGTTACCTATACTTCATGTTCCAAACATAAAATATAAAATGATGAAATTAAAAAAATAAAAAAATAGTTATACAGAAATGTATTGTTTTTTTTCACATCCTGACAATGCAACTACTCATTCTTTGAGGATAGTAAGGGCAGTCCTGTGAGAATTTTGTTGGGAAATCTTACCCCATTCACTCTACAGCCCTGACCTTGCCCTATCAGACTTCTTTTTGTTCCCCCAAATTAAAAATCATTTATAAGAAACATGATTTGACAATGCCAAAACTGCCATCTTGGTATAAATCAAAGAACACAAAATTCTTTAGGGAGGGGGAATAGAGCTGGAAACACCACCTTCAGAAGTGCATGGACCCAAATGGGGAATGTGTCAAGAAACAATTCCTTCACATTATATTTACCTAATAAAGGGTCGCTATGGGTCGGAACCGACTCGACGGCACTTAACAACAACAACAACAATAAAGGTTTTTATGATTTTGTAAAAACATTTTTTGCCTTACCCTCATTCATATATATATGGTTTGGCTCGTCCCCTGCTACAAACTTATTTATGAAAATGTGTACATAAGAATGTGTGTGTATATATGAAGATAGAGAAATTTTAATATATATGCTATATATAAATGTGTTTGTGTACACATGCAAAGCTTTGGCTCCTCACTGCTACAAGCTCAGAACTTGAAGGAATTTTGTTGTCACTTAGGTAATAAGGTTAGCTCTAAACGTTCATTTAGGATCTGAAATCTAAAGGTCAGTTTTCACCATTCAACCAGAATTCTGTGATGCTAAAACAAAACACAGTAAAGCAGCTCCACCTAAGAGGGCAGGCAGTCTAGGAGAAAATGCATCTCTGTGGCCCAGGATAGCCAGTTCTCCTGGCAAAAGCGGACTGAAAAGCAGTGTTATTTTTATAATCACACGCACAGCAGAAATAGAGAACGAAGATTCTGTGTACATACACAATTTTTTACCACTTGGTCTGTCAAAGAAATATTGAAACCAGCCCCAGAATATTTACTGAAAAGAGATTTCACTTACTAGAATTCTTGTCTAGTTTGCCTATGTGGAGTAAATGGAAAAGGTCTGTGGGTTGATGCTGGATGTTTCATTATGAGACTGTCTCACAAACCACAAGGCAGAAACCAGACTTTCAAGGGATTTGGAATTTTCTTGATGGGAACGTTCAAAATCCTGAAAGAGCAAGCGGAACCACAGAAATGAGACTGCAGAGCCTGAGACTGTAGAACTAACTGCCTGCTTCGAAAAGAAGCTTTTTTCCAGCTTCCCTGGGCGTACCGCACCCTACTTTCCCACACTTTCCTACTCCATAAGCCTTGGAGAGCAGGTATATTTTCATCAAGAATCCCTGAATGAGAAGTTTGTACTTTAAACTGCTGCTCTATTCTTCAGTGGGTCAACAAAACCATCCATTCATTCATCCATCCACCCATTCACTCACTATATCCGTATTAAGCAACCAATACATGGAAGAAGAAAGCTTTATTGAACAACTAATGGTATTAACTGGTCTTCCCTGTAGGCACATGGATATTTTCCTATCACAGACAGCATTGTACCTCATGACTGATGTGGATATGTTCTTTTTGACATTGAATGCAACATCATTCCTCTTCGATTTGTCATTCCCGGCATAGTAAACCATATGATTGTCAGATTCAAAAGGGCCAATATTAGTTCATTTCTGCTCACTAATGCCTAAGATATAAGGAGCTCTGGTAGCAAAGTGGTTACGAATTGGGCTGCAAACCCTAAGTTCAGCAGTTCAAAACTACCAGCTGTTCCGCGGGAGAAAGATGAGGCTTTCTGCTCCTGCAAAGATTTCCAGCCTCAGAAACCCTGTATGGGTGAGTTGGAACAGTTTCTACGGGACATAACCATCACCACCAATGCCTAAGAAAGATATGGCTGTTTATGCGTTCCATTTCATTTCTGACAATTTCTAATTTTCCTAGATTCATACTTTGTACATTCCATGTTCTGATTACTAATGGACCTTTGCAGCTGTTTCTCTTCATTTTGACTTTTGCCCCACCTGGAAATGAAGGTCCCAACGGATTTAGTCCACTCATGTCATCACAGTCAACTCTTTCAGGAGGCAGCTCTTCCCCAGTCGCATTTTGAGTGCCTTCCAACCTGAGGAGCTCATTTTCAGCACTGTATTTGACAGTGTTTCTCTGCTATTCATGAAGTTTTCAGTGACTAAATATTCGGAAGTAGTTCGTCTCCCCTTCTTCCTAGTCTGTCTCCCTCTGGAAGTTCATCTGAAATCCATCCACTGTGGCTGACTCTGCTGGTATTTAAAATATC